AAACATTATTTTCTTTAGCTTTATGCTTTAAGTCATTGTTTAAGTCTTTGTTGAAATTTATATATTCAATTATGTTTAATTTATTATTCCTAAGTTATAACTAAACAATCGCTATATTTTATAGCGTTATCTTTATGTTGTCTTCTTTAAATGTTTCTTTGATTTTTTTTTCAAATATATTGTTATTTATTATTGTTAAAGAATTCAAACTTTGACTGCCATGCTATGTAATGTTTTATTTAGACATTTTTGTGCAAATTGTAACTGTTTTGCAGTTCGAACTTTTAATGTTAATAGTTCCTTTTGGCATATATAATCATGATATTTAATTTCTATAATAATTGATTCTCTTAATCTAAATCAAGTGAGTAAGTCTATCAAATATTTTGTTTTCTTCTTTATCATTAACAAATTGTTTCATTTTACATATCCTGTGTTTTGTACCTTGTCATAAATTTTTTTTAAGTTCTGCAATAAGTTATATTGCTGACCGATTACCGATAACAAATATTCAACTCTTTTTAATGTAAATATCTTTAATTCTCATTCCTTAGCGATCAGTTTTATCTGCTAATTTATTTTCTACTATAGTAGTAGTTATGTTATAATAATGAAGGTTATAACTTGAGTTTAGGTTACAATTAAACATTTCTTTAGTTAGCTCTTGTGCCAATAAAGAAATTCATTTAAATATTTTCTAAAACACAATTTATAACCTCATTAATTTACTTTCCAGTTTTAAAAGATGCCTTAATAATGTGAATCTTCAAAAAAAAATTGAACACCTTGTTTCATCGCAGTATGATGTTCCTCAACTTTTCCATATTGAAATTCTTTAGAGTGATCATGAACTTACTCTCTGAAGCAATTATATTTTATTTTTTTAATAATATGTAAATATCTATAATCATATATATACTAGAAAGGTTAAAATACTTCTAAACTTTTAGAATTAAATTTAATTCTAACAATATAATTTAATAATAATTTGTTAAAATTAAAATTATTGTAATTTGTTTCATCTTATATACTTCTTTTTTAAAATTTCACGTTTAAATATCTCCATGTGATTAATATACTTAACATTGTAGGAAATGAGAAGAAGAAGAAATGAAGTGACGGTGGAATTACGTAAAAATAAACGTGATGAAACTATACAAAAACGAAGAAATGTGCCTGTTACAAATCTTATAGGTAATATTCTTCTTTTCTAATGAAAATAGTTAAGAAAATATAAACAAATAAAATAAAACTATTTTACCAGATGAAGATAATTTGACGAAAATTGAGTTGGAAGAGCTAGTTAGGAATGCTGCTAGTTCAGATCCAACTGTTCAGTTAGAAGCTGTACAATCTGCAAGAAGGTTATTATCTTCAGATCGTAATCCACCAATTGATCCATTAATTGATAGTGGTATTTTACCAATCTTAGTTCATTGTCTTCAACAGCACAATAGGTATGAAAATTTAAAAATTTATACACTACTTTTATAATACGAAATACTTAATGTACATATGTTTACTTTTACAGTCCATCTTTGCAATTTGAAGCAGCATGGGCACTAACAAACATTGCAAGTGGAACATCACCTCAAACACAAGAAGTTGTAAAAGCTGGTGCTGTTCCACATTTCCTGAATTTGTTACTATCAAGTCAACAGAATGTTTGTGAACAAGCCGTATGGGCTTTAGGTATGTATACAGAATGCAGACAAAACATACAAGATAGATTTAAAATCGTAAAAAAGGTTCATCTTTTGTACAGTACATTACTGACAGTGTTTTTATTGAACTCATTCATATGTATCACTATAAATGGATTGTTAGAGTCATGGACAATTTTTAATTGTTAAATAATTAAAAAATGAATTAAATTTGATATATTTGGTTTTAAACTTTTTTAAAGGACAATATTAGTATTAGTAACAGAATATAATTTGTATTAATGTTTTAAAAAGTAGCTGCTTATGTATCAAGAGCATGCATATACGCCATCGCGTTAATATTAACATCTGTGAAGGGTGTCAAGTAAATTCCGTTTATATAACATATTTGTTGTTTTACTAAACTGATATGGTATTGGACAGATTATTAGTATATATGACAATTATTGAAATGTTTGAATATTGCTAATTGTTTCGACATTCTCTTATCCTTATTTGAATAATCCAGTCATAATTTTGCTATATTTTGCTATATTTTATTAGGTCGTGTTTTATGAAATGTCGGATTCTTGTTATTCCATTGTTTTTCATATAACCTCTTAAACAATTTCATTGTTAGTTATCAGAGTAACTTTTTGAAAAAAAGTTTTTTCGAATTGTGCATAATAACTATTTCTTGCATTGTTTTTTGAAAACATGGATACTGTCAACATTCGTGTAATTTTCTTATATGAATTCAAACTTGAAAATAATGCTGCAAAAGTCGCTCAAAATATAGACATGGCATTTGGGGACAATACTGTGAATGAAAGAACAGTAGAGCGTAGATTTGCAAAATTTCATTTGGGTGATGTTGCTTGGCAAAATGAGCCGCGTGGTAAACTAGAAACAGTTGTTTATAACGATGACTTTAGAATTTATTAATTCTAAACATTCAGAATCTTTCAAAAAAAGAATATATTCATTAAAAACACGTTGGAAAATGTTTATCGAATCGAATAAAGCATATTTTGATCGAATAAACGTCTTTTAGAACATCAAATAAGGTTTCCTCTTTTCTGTAAAATCCGATATTTCATATTACTTGACCTAATATTTATTTAAATTCTTCTATTATTTTAAAATATACTCTAAATTAAATGAGTAAAGCACGTTTGTTTATGGCAAATATTTATTTGCAGGAAATATTATTGGAGATGGTCCAGCGTCTAGGGATTATGTTATTACTCTTGGCGTTGTAAAACCATTGTTAACATTTATTAAACCGGATATACCTATTAGTTTTTTACGTAATGTAACATGGGTAATCGTGAATTTATGTAGGAGCAAAGAACCTCCACCACCTGTTCAAACAATTAAGGATATTTTGCCTGCACTTAATGTACTCATACACCATTCAGATATTAATGTGAGTGACATGCACATCGCTTAATACATATATATATATATAAGATGTAATTATTAAAATAATTTATTATAACTGTTTCTTCATTATTTTCATTATAGATCCTTGTCGATACAGTTTGGGCATTGAGTTACCTCACTGATAGTGGTAATGAACAAATTCAAATGGTTATAGACAGTGGTGTTGTACCACGTCTTATACCACTTCTCTCGCACAAAGAAGTTAAGGTACAAACGGCTGCTTTGAGAGCGGTTGGTAATATAGTAACGGGTACAGATGAACAAACGCAGACTGTATTAAATTGTGATGCGCTTTCGCACTTCCCTAATCTATTGACTCATCCAAAAGAAAAAATCTGTAAAGAAGCAGTCTGGTTCCTTTCTAATGTAACGGCAGGTAATCAAACACAAGTACAGGCTGTTATGAATGCTGGGTTATTACCACTTATTATTCGTAATTTATCGAAGGTGAGAAAATGTTTTTTATGAAACTGTCAAAAACAATTGAAGAATTGTCACTTTATTAATATATACCCGTTTCTGGCACAGGGTGATTTCCAAACAAAAAAAGAAGCAGCATGGGCAATCAGTAATTTGACGATAAGTGGCAACAGAGATCAAGTTGTGCAGCTTATACGAGAAGGCGTCATTGAACCCTTCTGTGACCTCCTTTCCTGTAAAGATACTCAAGTTGTACATGTTGTTTTAGACGGTATACATAATATGCTCAAATTTGCCGGACCAGAAGTTGAGTACTTGGCTAACATGATCGAAGAATGTTCAGGTCGGTCTCCGTAACATTAACAATATTTTTATGCATGTTTATAGATCGCCGATACGATACATTGTTTAATATGAATTTACAGGTTTGGATAAAATCGAAGCTCTTCAAAATCACGATAATGTAGAAATTTATAAATTAGCATTTGATATCATCGAGCAATACTTTTCTGAAGAGGTATTTATTGAGTTCTGAAATCCGCTTTGTTCATAGTATATTTCAGGTTTTAAAAAAAACATAAGTTTCTTTTTTTATTTTAGGCAGATGACACGAACTTGGGGCCGCAGGTCGGAGAAGGTACATTCGAATTTGATCAGACGTCGACTATTCCAAGCGAGGGTTTTAAATTCTGAGAAGGCCTCCATTATTTCTCATCCGATCGTGCCGTCCCCCGACAAACTCCATTACGGAGTCATTCTGCTTACCCTTTCCTATTCTTATGTCTTATTCTTGCTCCAATGACAACACGTGGTGTTATCAATACGCCACCGCTGAACCAAGAATCATGTTTTTTTTTGCTAATCCAAAGGTATGACAGTGACTATTCACCCGATAAAAGGGGATATCAAA